GTATTAAACCAAGTAACCATCAAAAAAAAAAAATCAGCGTCATATATTTAGGCTTCATTTGGTACAGTTTATTGCTTTATAAAGTAGTTTTTTAGTATAAAAAAATTTTATTCAAAAAATTTTTATACTAAAAATTTATTTTAGAAAGCAGTAAAAAAATTGTCCCAAATGAAGCCTTAGTTTCATAATGAATTTTACCTTAAAGTTCAATGAAGTAAGCAGCATTTTGATATAAACATTTAAAATTTAATAGTTCAAAACTCTGGAAATTACAAAGGAATTCAAATAAAGAGGCATACAATAAAGCGATTGGAGAAAGTTATGATCGGACAAGGTTATGAAATAAAGCATGAGAAAAATCATATGCACATCAGAGAATTTAGAGGTTTTTATGCCTAGAGGACCTTTGATCTTTATATAGTTTTTACTACTCTTGAAAACGCACATGGTAAAGCAGCAAGAATGAATTCAATGGGTATCAAGGAGAAAAAGGAGATCAAATGTGTATTGAAGCTATTAAACATATTTACTAAACGGCAAACAATTATTAGAAATAATTACGGACTGATTAAAGATTTTTCTAATTATAATAAAGTTACCTGAAAGATAGCCTTAAGGTCATATATTTGGGTATTGGTTATCTACGGTGCTTAGAAAAAGGGGATCAAATATTATGTTGATGGAATATGGTTCAAAAGTTTTGGGTAAGAAGTTGGAGATCGAGGCAAGGACAGGAAAACAGGAGGAATAATGCTGCGCTTGGCAAGCTTGGCAATGTTGCTATGTTGTGCAAAGCTATTTTATATTTTGTTATGTATTGTTATGTGTTGTGCTATTGATTAAATTACATAATTCTTTTGTGAAATCACAACTTGAATTACTAACAAGGGTGTTATAAGAGTAGAAACTATTTGGCATAACTGTTGGCATTGATATTACATGATTAAATAATAAAAATGATTAAAATTTTCATGTAAATTAAAAAAGAGGTAAAATATTTTAGCTTCAAACATATCAATGTTAATAAAAAATCTAGTTGAATACCATAATTATTAATTATACTAATAAACTACATAATAATGTGACTAATTCGAATAACAAATTTTCCAATGCAATCAACAATTATCTGGTTGTCTATAACTAACACATTTAATCTAGAAAATTTAACACCAAATCATTAAATCAAACTGATTGTATAGTAACCAAATCAGTAACTAATGCATAATAAATTAGAATATTCTGTTTTCTTAATTAGACACCTGCTGGTTTTGGGGAAACATGCTAGTTTATAAATAATAATTGAAAGTTATTTAAAGTTAGAACATGCGTTTAATCAAAATAGGCACTTGCGTTACCAACCCAATTTACACCTCCAATCATGACATCAACAACAGATTTTTAAATAAAATATAATTACAAAGATCATGAAGTTATGTAAATAAACGTTCGCATATGAAATGTATTGGTGCAATTGTGATTTAGACATTAAGATCACTGTTGATGGGTGAAATTTGATTACTATATTCTTATAATTTATTTATTTATATATCTCTAAAAAAAGAAAGATATAAAATATGCATGAACTGACTTTAATGATTCTAATATAGCCTTTATATTCTCTAATTCTTACAGACATTTAATGGATATTTTTCGTTTGCCAAGACACCAGCTGCTTCCAACTCTTGTGCATGGTGTCAAGAGGCCAACTCTTGTGCATGGTGTCAAGAGGAATACTAATTTCAATGTAAACTTATAAAAACAACAACAACAACAACAACAACAACAAGCCTTTATCATACTATGTGGGGTTGGCTAATTGAATCCTTTTTCTCCATTGTCCTGTTAAGAGTCAGATTCTCATCTAAATCCAATAAAGAAAGGTCATTTCTAATATTTTTCTAACAAAAACTTTTTAGGTATATCTCTACTTTTCTTAACATAAGTCAAATATAATACATCTACTTTCCTAACCAGGTCATCTAACCAGGTCATCGGAAGGCCGTCGTTTTATGTGACCAAACCATCTAAGACGACTCTTTCTAATCTTACCTTCTACTGGAGCTACTCCATCCTTTTCATGTATATGCTTATTTCGTATCCTGTCTCTAAGAGTAAAGTCACTCATCAACCTGAGCATCCTCATCTCTGCATCACTTAACTTAATATTATTCTTCTCTTTTAATGGTTAGCCTGCTATAACACCTCGATCCACATGCCTCGAAGAAACATTCATCCACACTTCCATAGATTTGAAATTTACTTTGGTTGACTGGTGTAACCTTAGCTGGTGGGATTAAGTATGAAGTCACTGGGAGATCGATCAAACACCGGTTCTGAATGCTGACTTCCTTCTATCCCCTTTTTGGTCGAATATGAAAATCCATATTGATTATTAGGAAGAGTCGTCTCTAAAAGCTCATCACTAAACTCATGCTGGAATGATTGTCATACATTTGTAGATAAGATTGATCCAACTAGTCCACCCAAGATATTTGGTCACCCCAATCAATTTATTCTTGGATTCTATTGTCGTTTTGATTGCTAACAGTTTTAATCTTACTTGCTTATTCAAGAATTTGTGCAAATTCTATTTCATTTATTTAAAGCATTTAGTCCTACATCATGGACGCTTCGGTTGGCTCCCTTGTGCAGAAGGACCTGGACCGCTTCGGTCCTGTTATTACAATCAGCAGGCATTGACACTCCCTCATTACCGTTGTTACCTTTTGCTCGATGATTTGACCATCCTGAACTTCTACTGGCAACCTTTTTGTCACTTAGTCACCATCAGTTATTCCCCCTGTCTCTATTTTTGGATTCTATCCGTCAACTGAAATATGTTTAATGCCAATCCTTGTTTGGGAGCCATTATCATACAAAAAGTTTGAGGTTGTGGTGTTAGCAGTGGTTCCCCATGCAGTCATCCCTTTCCCAAGATAACTTTGTTCGGTTGTTTAAATCATCTTTTTATGCATGAACATTTAGATGCATATGAGATGTTTGTCTTGAGCTCTTTCTAACTGCTTATGATTTTGAGATCCTTAAGAAATTCTGTTTGTCTATGATATGCTCTTGTATTAAATCTGTGATACTAGCAGTCATTACAGTACTAGCGCTTACATCAAAAGCATATTCCTGTTGCAGGTTTGGGATCCTATTTCACCTCATCAACGATATGGGTGTTCAATTGTTGAAGCCCACAGTTTCATTGACGAGGTTCTACTTATTCATTGCATCCTCTAATGCTTTCTGAGATAGTTTCTCTTAAATTGTTTGCATAAATACTTTTTATATTAATTCTTATTAGTTAAAATCTACAATTTTTTTTATTTTACAATCCTTTTACATATACCTTGCTAATTTTTTATGACCATCTGTATGAAGTCACAAATTATTTGATATGCATGTTTTGACTCCAAATGTAATTGTTTCACAAGTTCAAAATTAGATTTTTTTTTGTTCGTGAATACTTTTGAACATTAAACACTGATTTTCCAGATCTCCAAATGCTGTGATTTTTCACTGATTTAGTTCTGTATGAACTCAGGCAGTATTTGATTCGTGTTTTTGATTTATAAATGTAATGAGAAAATAACCAAAATTATCGTTGGCTCTTTATTAAAGATTAAAATAGTCTCTATCTATATTAAAGGATCATTTTAATCCCTCAATTCTTTAAAGAGGAACCAAAGTAGTCCCATCATAAGATTATTTTGATTCCTTTTTAAAGACTTGAGGAATCAAAATAATTTTTTAATATAGTTGGGGATCATTTTGGTGCTTCATAAATGATCAATGGATCATTTTGATTCTTTTTCCTAAATTTTATTATTTGATGAGTCTAGATTTTGTTTACTACTTTAGGGACTTTCATTTTTTTAGCTGACTCGTAACATTTGGGATTATAATCTTAGAATTATAAGGAATAAAAAAATGCCATTTACATATGTGGTTATTGATGAACCAGCTTGAAAAAGAATCTTCATCGAACTTGTCACATTTTTGAATCCCAGGGAAGCCCAAATTGAAATGCACAAACCACTTAAAAAGGCCATCTATTTACACTTCTGCAGAAGTACAAAAGAGAGGCTCTTATGCACCAGTATTCTATCATCTTTTATCTGTTAACTCATGGTTATGGTTGGCAATCATGGTCGAATCTCAAAAACTATTTGAAATTCACTCAAACTTTGGTCAAATCATAGTGAAGCCACAAAATATCTAGGGAATTTTTTGAGCCATGACAACTTTCTTTTATATTGGAGAATGTCAATAAAATCTCTATGGAATTTATTGACTTCAATTCAACAACTATAGTCCTAGTAGCATGTTCTCATTGATTTCCCGGGTATGCCATAAATTCCGGAGGCATGAATTCTTCAGACTTATAGAATGTTGGTTGTTAGGCAACTCTGTGCCACTCCCTTAAGCACCACAATCTACTTTATAGCGTTTGTTGTAACCTGACCTGGTCAGAGTGCACAAAGCCTTCATACAATTTTCGTATGCTATAATGCCACCATGCCCTCACAGCTCAATAATATGGCATGAGCTTCCAACCCGCCATTCATATTACTTCTCTGCTACAACGGAGGTACAAATCAGCTCTTACTGTAGCAACAGTTGTGATCTAAAATTTGCAACAATAAATATTTTTTATTGTATTATCTTAAGTGATCGTGTATTTCTAAGTTGAATGACAAATGATGTGTTTCGCTTGTGAACTTTTTATAGGTTTTACTAACTTCTATGCAGCTTGTTCTCTCAATATTTGTATAGATTTTTCTTATTTTTAATGTATTTATTCATTACAGCTGCATGCGGTCTGGTGATTATTGTGCAAAAACTTCCGATAGTTTTTTTATGCTGTTGGTAACCATATAGTAGAAGTTACTTCTTTAGTATATTTAAGCTGGAAAATTAAAATTTTCCTGTGTGATTCATTTTATAACAACTAGTGCTTTGAGGTAGGTTCAATCCTTTTGACTGCGATGATGTTCAGGATCAACTCAGGTCATCGTTTTTGTTTTTATGATATGGAAATATAGGGATGCCTGCGTAAAATAGGTGATTTTGGTTTTGTTTGAGCATCTTAGACTCATAGCTGGCTGATCTGTGAGTTTTTTCTGGCAGATTGTTGACCAATTTTTTGATCTTAAAGTGCCCATGAGGATTGGAGAACTTGAAAGCCTTTGCCGTGGCCTTGATAATGCATTTCAAGTTTATACTGGTCAAGTTGTTCAGCAGATAGGTGATTTTCTGTTGCTTAGCAAATAATTTATTTTTTCTTGGAAAAAGAAAAGTAAATAAAGCTCATCTTTTCTTTTTGTTTTTTAAACTGTGCTCAAACCCGCTTGCTTTTTGATTGATTTTTACCTTCAATTGTCTTACCACTTTAATGTTTGAATATTCATTTCTTCAGTGGGAAAGTTAGTCTTGTTTTTGCTCCTCGTACTGATGTATTGTGGACACTTCTTTTGTGAAGTAACCTCTTATAGAGCCAATTAATTTGTTTGTCCAACTCACCATCATTTCACCCTTGCCTTCCAACAAAAAAATAGCTTACTTTCTTGGAATGCATTACAATAGGACTGTTAAGTAGTGGTTAGCTGGATCAATGATGTAATTTTGCTATTTACACCACCAAATGCAAATCATTAATATCATCATGCCACTAGATCTCCTTGGAGGAAAATTTCATGTATTCTTATCCTTATTTGTAGAGTATCAAATAAAAACAACTAACATCTCTTTTTAATTGTTGAAGGAAAAGGGTTTTTTTTGTATATTATTGACTGTATATATTGAGCCCTTAGCTATGCGGAAATAAATAATAAAGAGTAGTGCCCCCCAATATGAGAATATTAAAAACATATAATCGACATCTTTTGTTAGGAGTCATATCTGTTATGTCAGCACCCATGTTTTTAAAGTACGAAGCACAATGCGATGCACAAGATTTTTTTTTGTTTTAATGTGCAAAGTTGCGCTTTTTTTAAAGTACGAAGCACAATGCAAAGTTGCGCTTTTATTAACTAAAGCTCTCATAACTTATTTAAATTTATAATATATAATGATGTATTCCTTAACTATTACAAAACATGGAGTATTTAATAGATGACTCAAATCTTGATATAGAATAGGAAAAAAAATGTGATGCACATGCTTCACTTGAAGAAAAAACTTGAAAATGAGCCTGCAACTTGAAAATTCCGATAAATATTCATTATACATAGGAATTAACAAACAATTAAGTTAAAAACTATTGTAGTAGTTTGTTGTAAAAATTAGAAGCATTAAGATTACATAAAAACACATTTAATTCATAGCGAAGGTAAGATTTAAATGCTTAAAGTCTCAAGTTTCGTACAACAAGCTAAATGGAATTAATTAGTCATTATTTTCACTTTCATTCACATGACCTCTTTCTCCGTCAAGTAGAATTTCTTCATCTCAAAATTTTTTCTTTTTCTTCTTGTGAATTAATCTCATCTTCTCTTTCTTGAACAGTAAAAGTTGATATAGGTCGGGATGAAGTTGTCCTCATTATTGATGTACCTTTTTTGGCCTGTTAAATCTTGCATACCATCTTCAATCAACTTCTTCTGACGCCTTTTGAATTTGTCTCTAATTAAAATCTTCTTCACCAAAGCATTGTGCACTAGTATCTTCTATTTCTCCAATTAACACCTTACAACTTTAATCAATAGAATTCTAACTAATTGGATGAATAACATCTCTCAAATTAAATATCCATTTAAAAGTTTAGTTGTATTTAATGAATACTAAATCATTTAAGCTCTTGTGATCTAAATAATTTATCTTCTTTGTATGAATTTGTAGAAAAGTTATAATGAAATACATATATCATATAAATTATTTATTATATTCAAAATTGATAAATTACTAACCTGCACGAAGATACTTAAGTCCCTCTCACGTCCAGCAGTGCTAAAAGTTGATTCTGAAATCTTAATTGCTATTTTTTGTAAAGTTGGAGCAGATGCACCACACTTCTCCCACCCCTCTTCATTAAAAATTTAAAATTAGAATATCAATCTTGAAAACTTTAATCAATAAGTACAAAATTATGTAGAAGTTTTAATTGAGTATACCTAGAGATTTATGATGTCTATCGTAGATGGAAAATTCAGTTGCAAATATGCCACCAACACGGTTCTAAATAGAGAGTTTTTGATATGTAACCATTCTCTCATTTGGGTCTCCCACTAATAAACTAGTAACTGAACATAAGCCTGTGATCAATTGTCCATTTGGTTGTATTGTAGTTTTATTTTTGTTAAAAAATTATAGGTTAAAATAGTAGCCAGTTTGATATAATGATCGTCGGAGTTTATACTTCCATCTCTCATAAATGATATGAAAGATTGTCTTATACTTTTTTTTTTAATTTTCTCCAAATAGATTATTAATTGCATCTTTCATTGTGTTCATTGCATCATAAACATAACCATAGCTGACCTCTTGTCACCATATATTGGTCTCAAAATATTTACTAGTAACCTTCAAAGTATTGTTCACAGCATTCATCTTGTGAGCCAATAACTATATATATAACTATTTGATGATGAATAGATAACTCCCAAAAATAGTAGAAGTCTTGAAGTTGAAGCTAAATGAAAGACCTATAACGAGTAGAATGAAGAAATCAATGTTAGCATTGAGAAGGCTATTTAATTTAGAGCAGTTTCTACTTCACAGTTCGCGCGAACTGCCTGTTCCGCGAACTGTTATGTTCGCGGAATTAAAAGGGTGGGCCGGTTCGGGTGAACCGGCCGGATGAACCGGTTGTCACAAAGTGGGTTTGGAGTTAACATGCATAAACCAATTATGGAAAAAGCTATAATTAACTGCCAACTAAAACCAATCTAATCTTAAACATAAATTAGAAAAAATTAGGTTTAAGATTTAGCTTACTTGAGGAAGGATAAGAGGGAAAAGAAAGAAATAATTTTCAAATCAATTCTTAAACCCTAGAAAATTCTTAAACAAATCCTTATCAATATTTTTATGTATAAATTATGTAAGCCATCTAATGATAAATCATGCAATGGATTCCTTTCAAATCTCTTTTCATCTTTTTAAAGAAGTGAACTACAATCAAATGGTTAGGGTTTACCTTTCAATAGAAGGAGAGGAGAGGAAAATCCTTGGAATTTCTTTATTTTCAAATTTATTCCTCCAAGTCACCCTCATTCTTTTTGTCAATACTTTCTCAAACTTCTCATGCGAATGCAAACCTCATGCATGCGGTTGATTCTCTTGTTGCTCTCGCACTGATTGGTCTCCTTTTCTCTCTTTCTCTCTCTCTGCGCTTCTCAACGGTTAGCTCTTTCTCTAACTCTTTATCTCTGACTTTTTTCACTTAGTCCACCCCCTTTCTATCTTAAAGGGGCATCCACTAGCTTATTGTGTTAGTTAAATTGAACCAACACAAGAAGTTGATTTATTTTATTTTTTCCATAAGGATTTTTTATAATTCGTTAATTAATTATACTCTCTTATTTCAATAAATTTTATTGAGCAAATAATTGTATCTCTCAATATTGTATATAAAAAATAGTTATGTATTTATTTTGAGCAATTATTATTTTTTAAATAAATTCGATATGGAGGACTTGATTAATTCTTTAATTTATCCATAAAATTATTTAAAAATTAATATTAATATTCCTTAACTAAATAAATAATATTCTGGGTCTTTATACAACTTGCATGCATGATAGTCAAAAGATTGTTCAGGTAAAAAATCAACGTCAATAGCTCCAAGTTTATTATGAGGAAGATGCAACCGATAGTGTCAATCTAAAGGAGTAATGGTGGAGAAAAAGAGGGAACATTTATTGTCAGTTATCATATCCAGCTATCTTCAACAGTTCTACCAATTAAATTCTTCAGGCTGAGGTCTTGAAAGACAAAACAGAAGGGATTGGAAGTTATAGAACAATTATGGGAATTAGTAAGATAATGAATAGGTAATAAATTTATAGGATACTGAGGAACATGTAAAGCATCGTAGAGAGTTTTTGAATGAATCACAATGCATTTCCTAAAAAATAATAGATGGGGACACATCTGCCACAATCATGAGAGGAAGGCAATAAAAGTTTGTGATTAACTATTATATGGGAGGAGACATTGAATCCAAACTACATAGCTTACTTGAGGAGACGATTGTTGCAAGTTTGTGGAGGAAATAACATCAAAATTTGATATAGATATTTGGGAATTCTGATATCAAGCAATCAAATTCTTCTTGAGAAAGCATATGGTTGAACCTTGTGGAGCGACAATAGTGGAAAAACCGTTAGCAGAAATAATTATTCCAATGGCTTGTTGGGCAGTTGGAGGATAGCCAAATCTTGCCTAACGTTGCTTTGAAGGGTGAGTGGTGCGAGAGCTAGGTGGGAAGGACTTCTCAACTTGAATACACCCACTATCAATCAAGGCTCCATGGATACGACCATCACAATGTTTGATAGTAAGGGTAGTCTAATCAGAAGATGGTGAAGGAGACAATAAATCGATGGCTTGAAGATCATGAGAAAGAGTAGTCATACTATTGGGAAACTAAGAATCAACTATCTGTTGGATAAAGTTTGCAGAGAAATTTACAACCAACAACTCTTAATCTTGTTCATAAACTTTCTATCAGTAGTAAAAAGTTTAAACTGAAGTAATCCATTCACTTACCCTGAAGATATTATAGTAATCTTGAATGATCAACTCATTTTACAATAGAGGAAACCGTGGAAATATTACTTTTCTAAAAATAAGTTGAGTAGAGAAAATGCTGTATTTCCTTAACAATCTCATGAAACATGTCGTGGAGACACTAGAATGTTTGAGATCATTCAACAACCAAGTTGTAACAACATAATCATAAGTTTGTTATTTGGAGAACTTGATCTCATGAACTACAAAAGTGGCATTAATTTGAAAGAGTTTTTCATGAGAATTAATGAGAAAATGGAAAGCCCTTTACTATAAGAGATAATTGTTATCATTGAATTTTATAAAGGCGCCTTAGTTAGAAGAAAGTTTCACATAATGTAGAGTAATCATAGACCATAGTCGTAGACCATGATACCATAGGAGTTAATGTTGGAGAAGGAGAATTAAGAATAGATTATTGATTAGATTATTGATGTAGACAAAGAGGGGTCAACTCATGTCCAAAATAAATCAATTTTGGCTTCCCCCGAGTTTATAAGCTCAATCAATTTGAGCTGAAATTTTAGCTCATTTATGAGCTGGTCTTTAGTTCATTTATTGAACTAAGGGTTAGCTCATTATTAGCTAACGTTTTAGTTCATAGTTATCTTTTTATTAATGTAATATTTATTGTTTTTTGTGTTTTAATTATGTTTGTCTCTTAGAATTCCAAACCAGCTTTTGGAATTCCAAGATGAGTTGTTTCACATGCCGTGGATCCTTGGCTTCCACCATGGGCTGTTGTTTTCTGTGCTTTGCCTCTTGGATTTCCGGCCGGCTGCTGGTTTTCCGAGCCTGGGAGTTTTCCTGTGGCTTTGGCGCCTTGGTTCTGTGCGGCCTCCTTGGCTCCCGCGGCTGCTGCTTCGGTTCCTGGGTTTGGGTTGTTTTCCGTGAAAAGCAAGGGCTTTTTATGGCTTGTGATGTTTGGGATTCCTACGGGAATTAAATGTTGTGTCTGTTTGTATTCCCCCTTTCATACCTATAAATATTAGGGGTTTGTTATGTTTTAAAAATAGTGAATGATATGTTATTTTTGGAAATGTAAACCTGCTGGTTTCATTGGAAAAGCTTGCAAGCTTTGTCCACTTGATGTATTCAAAGGGGGGGTCAACTCATGTCCAAAACAAATCAATTTTGGCCTCCCTCGAGTCTACAAGCTCAATATTTATTGAGCTGGAATTTAGTTCATTTATGAGCTGATTTTTAGATCATTTATTGAACTAAAGGTTAGCTCATTATTAGCTAGGTTTTAATTCATTTATTAACTTATTTATGTAGCTTTATCTTTTAAAATTATGTGCTTGGCCTCTTGGGTTCCCGTGCCTTGGCTCCTTGGTTCTCATGGCTGCCTCCTTGGTTCCCACGGCTGCCTACTTGGTTCTTGCCCCCACCAATTATTAAGGCGTAGAGTTGAATGTAAGACAAGCAACAGGCAAAGCCAACATGCAAGGTAGTGCGGCATCCTTTGTTGATATACGTGAGAAGAATGGGTATAGGTGCAAGGATTGCCATCTATTGCGTGCATGTAGTGGAGTTAGCAAGTGACAAGTGAGAGCAGAAACTGGGAGCACAATAGAGAAAATGTGGGTGCGCAAGGGTTGCCATATGTTGTATGGGAGCCAGACAGGACTTAGTTTTTGCACGAGATCAATTGAGATTATGGCTAGATTTTCCTGCTCTGGTATCATGCTGAGAGGAAAGGGGATGTTTTTTGTGTTATTGATTGAATATGCTGGTCTTATAACTAAGCCTATAGGAGGAAATAGTAAGGAAACATATGAAATAGAATAATACTCCTAATAATGAGAATGTTTAAAATATATTCTCATCTTCCAGTGTAAGGAGTCCTTGATATGTCAATACCATCTAATAAGCCAACAATATATATTTTTTAGTTTATATATTTATTGAGGTTTTGTTTAATCTTGTCTCCTTGGTTTGGTCTAATTTTCTTTTTAAATGATTGCATCTTTTTTCAATTTCCATTAGAGTTTTGTTTGCCTGACCTTTTTTTTATTTAAAAACTTATTCGGTCGTTATTATTGATATTTGCAGTTGATAAAGAAGATTTGATACCTCCTGTACCTGTCCTCACTCGATACAAAAGGGAAATTGGAATAAAGGCCTTTGTGAGGAAAGAAGTTACAGACGTGAAGTCAACAAATGATAAAAATTCCAATCAAATTAATCGACTAACAACAAAAAATCTGTGTGTACGATTGAATACACTTTATGTAAGTTTTTTTTGGGACTTTCCTTGATAGCCTAGCACATTAGCATTCATTTTTTTTTCCAATACTAATTTTCTTTTAAATTTTTAAAATAATTTTTTTAAAATAAATTTAATAAGGCAAGATGTGTTGATCATAAATGAATAGAAAATAAAGATTCATAAAACTGACTAAAGTTGTTGGGATGAGGCTAATGTAGATAATGTAATGACTAAAGTTGTTGGGATGAGGCTAATGTAGATAATGTAATGATTTTTCACTGAAATGGTATGTACTTGGTAGAATATTGATGATGGCAGTGTTTTTTAGGAGACAAATACTACTTGTTGGCCTAGTTACATTTTGTAATTTTGCTACAGTATATTTTCAGTGTAATTTTAGGTTGCATGTCAATTGATGAGTGTTGTGATAAGGCTACGATGTAGAACCATGTTTTTTGGACAATGTTGAGGGTGGGCCTGTGTCCAATGGTTGGTCTACCCCTTTTTGGTCATTGATTTAGGCATCGTTTGGGACGACTTTATTGCTGCTTCGTAAAACAATTTTTTAGTACAAAAATTAAAAATTTTGTACAAGAACGCTGAATGAGATAATGGAAACAATCTGTCTGCTAAAAGCAAAGCTTATTGTTGTACCTAATCATTCCCCAAACCCCTGAATTGGTAGGATCCTTGTGGACTGATTTTACTCTTTTTGTATTGGGGCACAAACACTGTTTTTGTCAGTGTTCTAGGCATGGCATGATCTGGCATCTGCTTTCCAGCTCATTGTTTCTTTTTGCCCCTCTTTATGCCGTTATGAATTTGGGCACATGCATTTGTGGAATATCTTCTGGATTGCTGCAAACTTACTTTTCGATCCTCTTTTTAAGTTTCATTTTGTGTAGAGATATGTGCATGAATTGGAATCTTGCATCACATATGATAGTGGTAAGTAAGAAGATTTATATAGGAAACCTATGCCGTTGATACAAAATATTGAACAT